GACTCTATAAATTCTATTGGCACAATTTGTTCTATTACATGCATAGTCGGTTCTTTTAATTGACATCTCTCCCGTTCTCGACGTGCACGTTGTGCTAATTGACGTGTTGATAAAACATTGTAGTTGATTTCCTAAAGAATAAATTTGAAATTATATAGCGGATTAGGATATAAGAAATGTAGTACAAAAGTCTGCGGTTGAACAATAATGGAATACATCATAAATATTTTTAAAAAAAAAACATATTTAAGCATACATACCACTTGTGGATCTATATTCTCTTTTCCTTTTCCTTTTCCTTTTCCTTTTGTAGAGCTGGATGTTGCCACTGCATTTGACTTTCGTTTTTCCTTTTAAAAAATAAAATGTATAAATTAAGAATTATTACAGTAGAAAAGAGTTCATAATAATACTAAAATCAATTGACGTGTCACCTCTTCAGCTAAGCGAAGGCAGTTAAGATCACGTTCATCACGGATTACAACACCTAAGTTTTTTTGACGAAGTAACTAGACCTAGAAATCAAAGAAGGATAATGCTAATTTGAGTGATAAGAAGTAAGAATTGAACACCTATAAGAATTAAGAAAATTAATGATAAGAAGAATAACTTACTGTGCGTGCTAGGTTANCCTAGAAATCAAAGAAGGATAATGCTAAATTGAGTGATAAGAAGTAAGAATTGAACACCTATAAGAATTAAGAAAATTAATGATAAGAAGAATAGCTTACTGTGCGTGCTAGGTCAGTATCCATCTGTAAAAATGGTTGAAAAAACTATAATAAGTATGAGATTACTTATAGGAGAGGATTAGAAAGAAAGTTATACATATATAACTTACATGACCAAAAATAGTGATGTTATAGGGTGATTCCGAATTTGTCGAGGTTCCTTCACCAAAATTGGACCCGTTGAGATTATTTGCAGGCATCCCTCGAAGCATTGTTGTCATAGACGCTGACACCGGGATATTTGTTGGCACTGTTTGTATTTCTATAAGTGAAGGAAGTTTCCCAGTCACAGGCGTCGATTGATTGCGAGGTCTCTTCACTGATGATTGTTGTATTTGAGCTTGATGGTGGCGACTCGGGGTTAAGGAAGGGAAAAATCTAGGTTGACTGGATGGACGTTATNCCGGGGGTGTAATAAGTGGAGGTAGTTGAATTTTTCCTTGCAAACAACATGTTCCAAATAGAGGACGTCCTGANATACATATATAACTTACATGACCAAAAATAGTGATGTTATAGGGTGATTCCGAATTTGTCGAGGTTCCTTCACCAAAATTGGACCCGTTGAGATTATTTGTAGGCATCCCTCGGAGCATTGTTGTCATAGACGTTNGAACGGGAATTTGATAATTGTTCAGCCATCCAATGTAATGCTTGACAATGAGTACATGGTACATTCATACTCCTGAGTGAATGACGGCCTTCTAATACGTGTGTTCGAGGATTGATTTCNACATGAATGTTGGAGCTTTGTAAAAGGAAAAAAAATTAATGCAATCCAAAAGGGAAAAAAATAACACAATCCAAGTTTTTGTGTAAAGAGACAGACATTATTTATGAATTGGTGCAATGAATTATTGGAGCACAACCATTTATGATTTGTTGTTTCGTGCTATTCACTAAATATTGAATTTGTATGATTTGTGTTCATAGTAATATTTTTAGTTTTATATCATTCTTCGTGTTGTTCACTAAATATGAATTTAAACTTGTATATTTTAAATGTTAAGCATATTTTATTTAATATATCTTGATATCTGAGCTGCCCAATAACTTGAATTTAATCATGTATATTTAATATGTTAAGCATATTTTATTTATTGTTTCGTGTTGTTCACTAAATAGGCGTCGAATTTTTATGATTCGTGTTCATAGTATTGCTTATAATTTTGTATCATTTCTCTCGCTTGTAATTTTGTATCATTTTTCTCGGGGATGTAGATTTGGATTATTTAATAAATATTAATTTTTTGTGTTGTTCACTAATTATCAAATTTTTATGATGTTTAGAAATTTAATTAAAACTTGACAATGTTAATTGAGTTCTCTTAAATATTAAATTTTGTTCACCAGCAAGGTGAGTTAAGCAAACAAAACTCACCTTACACCTTGAACCAAATAAAATATTGAAAAAAAATTTATGAACAGTGCTAATTCTTAATATTAAACCATATCACCAATGTCAAAAAATTAAATCTTATATTAAAATTCAAAACAAAACGCACCTTGCACTTGAACAGAATAAACAACTTAGCAGCACCAAATTATCCCAATGCAATGAATTTTTAGCGGCAAGAATTCAATTCGTCGAACTCTCGAACCCAAATTACAAAAACCTTGTCCACCAAAAACTAATACTGTTATAAACAAAAGGAAACATTAGAATTTAATGTAAATATTGGAAAAAATCAGATAATATAATTTTGAATAGGGAAACATGCTTGCAATAAAAACAGAACACGATAAGCTAGAAAAGACTGTGAATCCAAATGATTAACAAATAATCGAGTTATATTAAAAATTAAGTATTGAATTTAAATTGTAATACAACAGTTAAAAAATGAATTTTGAAAAACACCAACAGAAAAATGAAAAATCCTCATATAATATCAACAGTTTATACTAAATTTGGCACATTCAAGCAACAAAATAGAATCGCACTGAACAATCAATGTAGAACATTTGCATTGAAAAAAATAGTCCACTCGAAAAGAACTCGAAAATAAAAACCCAGAAAAATATAGCATCAAAATAAAAATTTAATGGGAGAAGTAAAGTTTCTGACTGGAGTTGAAATATTTGTCATCTTAGTTGGATGTTGCCGGAATAGAGAAAAGAGACTCTCAAAAGCAAATCAACTAAATACAATCAATATAATGGAGAAGAAAGTCTAAAAATTAGTAGTGTTCTTCTTGCAATTTTAGTGCCATACGATTTTTTTGGGAAAGTTTTACCAAAGTGAGGGACTGACCAAGCAATGCCTGACATGAAGTTTCAAAATAGATTCATCACTCAAAACAGTATACCGTCACTTCAAACAATGTGCAGATTTTAAAAAATAAAATGCAAAAATCAAATTCAACCAAGTATCACACGTAGTATTGTGAAACATCCACGACATGAACGGTACTCATCCAAAAAAATCCTATCAAACCCATCATTTCGAACTCTTCATGTGCGTAACTCTTTTGAGAATTTTTGTTCAACACTTGATATACGTTGTGGTAGCTGTGGTTCAAACCAAACCCAATTAGTCAAACACAATTAGTTGTGCGTGTGATTTGCATGCGCAGTGTGCATGCGTTATGTTGTGTTAGTTTGTGTGTTTGTGCAGAAAGTTGATGAGAGAGAGAGGACCTGAACTGTATTTTCGGTGATGTATCTCTCAGTGGTGGGTCGTCGACGGTGGTGAGTTAGTCGGATGTGTTCAGAGAGGGAGGGGGGAGAGAGAGACTAATAAAGGAGAGAGACAGAAAAGCAAGGGAAGAGAGAAATAGGGAGCATGAGCAAATTAAGCCGTGAGTGAGACTAATTGGGAGTAGAGAGAGGGGGGAAGAGTATTGCCGGAGTAAAATTTTGAGATATTAATTATGGAAATTAATATTCTGACAAAGTAATTGCGGGCAAATATTCTAGCAGTAATTGTTGGGTTTTATTGTGTTGACCCGTTGGAAAAATTAAATTTAGGGATGCTAGTTTTAGAAACTAAAAGTTTTGAGCAGCAAAAATTTTTCAGGAGCTAATATGATATGTCGGATCGAAACGATCTGAGACGTCAATAGTTTGAGACAATTTGAAATAGCGTCGGCCGTTAGATGATGTCTTTTTTAATCTCGAAACGATCTAAGCCGTTCTTTGTCTCTTGAATTCAAAATCGTTCTACTTTATTATATAGATAAATTAAAATTTATTTTTTATACAAACGAATCGAGTCGAATTGAATTTCCAGCCGGATATCCAAAAAGTTGTTGAATTCGGATATCATCTAAGAATTTCAAATCAGTTGAATAATCGAATCGAATGACATAAATTGCATTCGGATATGACAGAATTCAATTAATATTTAATCCGCTGACCGGTCAAGTTACGGTATAGTCATTGTGTCCCACTTATCTGTTTATTACCCTTTTTAGGCTTATTTTACATTTTTTTCCTTTTTGTATTCCCATGGAATTATCTCCATTTACAACTCCAATTTTATGGGCTCACCTCAGATTCTCAAGAATGAAAAACAAGGCGCTACAATCCGATTTATCCCCTTGTCAGCACTTCACACCCCCCCC